CTTTGGCTCAGTTATATATAAAGTACAGTCTTTGTTTGACTTGCGAGCATTGAGAACAATGATAATAGGACTAATACTTGTCTAAAGACGAACAAAATATGTTTTGGGACATATTGAGGTGTATAAGGAGGACAGAATAGGTCCTTTCTGTTGTAACTCGGTTTGTTTTATTAGGTTGAAAATAACCTTTTCATTTTTCCTTTGAGAAACGTTCCCCTTGGGTGTTATCAGAAAAACTACAGAATGATAAAAGCCTACTTCCTGCTTGCGGAAACATCAAAGCTGGGCCTTTTCACTATGTATTTGTAGTCTGTTCTTAGATATGTTTGTGTGTCTAAAACATGTATATGAGATCACCGTGGAAACAAATAGAGTAAGATATATGGACAAGTACTTGAAAAAGATACCTGTACAGTAACTGAAGTTTTTTCAAGATGCTATTTCTATTTATGCTATATTTTCTGTCCTTTTTTGTTCCCTTACAACAGTACATTACAATTCAGATCTTTTAGCGAATGGGCCATTCTGTTTTCTGAGTAACTCACAATGTCCAGTCCCTGTGGTGCTTCTGGCCATTCTGCTCAACTGATTCTAATAAACTACTTCATTCCTTAGATATTTGTCAATCTCAGTGCTCAGAATGTTTTATGTTTGAGATAAATTTGAACTCAATTCAAGTAACCTTTCTACTGTAAGTATAGGTAGCTGCCACACTAAACTTAACCCTTTCATTCTTTAATATACTAGGTTCTCTAGGAAACAGCAAAAAAAAAAAAAAAAAGTCCTTTTCTATCACATGAGTATTCTTGCATATAAATCCTTACCAATACTGTCATTAGTGCTTATAATAAAATCAAGTTCAAGTACAGCATCATGGACGTGTCTGGGTAGGTTGTGCCGCCATGAAATACAGATGTGATTACTCTTTCAGAGTTGCTCTTTTCATCTCAAACATATTAGATGGAAAAGAACTCTGTAGTTCTGTCCAGTGATGGAAGACATATAGAAGTAAGTTTAAAATTTTATTTTTAGTTCCCTTCTAGTTAAGGATGTGTTAAGTGCGTGTTGGGAGCACCATCCGAGCAATCTGCATACATAGACTGGCTTTCAGAAGACTGTTTGCCATGCTCATGTTCTAGATCTCTGTGCCATTGAACTAATCTTTCTAGCCTTTTCACCAGTTTTCGTGACTTCAGCTTAAAAATTTTGCTAGATTTCATACCAGCAAGGAATCACAGATTTATCTTCCCTTTGACTGGAACAGCCTTTGCGTCTTTATGTGTTGTCACCAACCAAGTCTGCTGCAAGTGTAGGATTTGGAGGCTGGGGGGCTCTGTTGTGAAGCCTTCTCAGGAAATGAGGGAGATGATGGTCATGTTTCAGACTTTTTATTAAAAATATCATGAAACCGTTCCTACATTACAGAACAATATGGCTATGTTGCTTGGTTTGAGGTTTACTAAATAAAGCTAGATGATAAACTCCCAGAAGCTGGTATCTCTCTTTTTTTCCCTCTGAGTATAATGGAGTGGTGTCTGTAGTAGAGAATTCATATTTCATCCAGTATATTTTTCCAGTAATCTTCTCCTAAATTAGCGCTGTGTTAGTATAGTCCTCCTTATTAACTATGCATAGGTTTCATTGTTTGCCTCTTTTTTTAATTAAAAAAAAAACTGGCTAGATTTTTTTTTTTAGGAATTCATATTGTCTTTCTACTTGAAAAAATGGTAGCCAGTCCTTCAGATTCCTACTAAGATGAGGTTTTCCAGACTGCGGTTGTGCACTCTAATAAAATTGTTTTGTGTACTGCTAACAATTACAGTGTATTCTGTATTAACAGCAGTTCAGAAGTTCACTAGCAAATGTTGGTTTTCTTTTCTTACTGCAGCTGTTGCGGACGAACACAAATGTATAGTGATACAGCAGCACACTAACTGCAATACGATAACAGCATATATTAAATGCAATCTGTCTTAACACGCTGAAACTAAACTCTGTTATGTACTTGAATATTCTTTGCTTTTCAATGTGTTTTCCTCTCAGAAGCTTTCAGACTTTAAGTTCAGTCCATAGGATACTGCTGTTGCTTTGCTGATGGCATCTTTCAACAGTGGCATTTTGCCTTTTGAGATTCAGTAATAGATTCCCTGAGAACCTGACAATTTCATATGAAAACAATTTGTCATTACTCAAAACGGGTATAGGAGTTTCATTGTAGACATACTATGCCTAAACTGGGACCCAAATAAATTTGCTTTTGTTACAAGTGCCAGCTGCCCTTCTCCTCTAAGAGTTTGATTCCTGTGGAGGGGATGACAGAGCTGGTTATAAGCAGATGCTTCCTTTGTGCAGTGGGCTCAGGGCTGCCTTCTTTGTGTGGTTCCCCTTCTCTTCTTCCCTTGCTTCCATCATGTTCCTACTTTTCTACTTTGAAAGATTAAGCCAAGATTGTCCTGGGATGTCTATACATCAGTTTAGTCTGGCCAGACCTATTGTGAATGTCGACTTAGCTGCTAGAGGAGGTATTGTGGTTGGATGCTCTAGTCAGATCCAAAGTCACTAAAAGAAGAGTGTGATTGCTGGCCAGTTGGATAGGCTGAACTGATTCAGAGCATTAATGAATAAGAAAACCTGACTATAGAGAAGACATGTATAAGGAGAATATTCGTGCAAAGTTAATTTTACTGTAGTTTCTGAATTTTATCAGATTCAGCTTCTCTATGGTCCTTCAAAGCTAGGCTTGGCAGCAGAAGAAAAGGAATGGCACGTATGAGAGAAATCCAGGACTTCTGCTTTATTGCACTGACAGAACCAAATTGTTCAATCTGTTGCCTCATCTGTTTCTTGCCATAGCTGGGAGTTGTAAAGGTCAGGCCATCGCAGCACAAAGAATATAATAGTTAACATGCTGCATCTCGCAGTGTTACCAGCTGGCTAGTGCATTTCTCTCATCGAACATCCAGGCTCTTTCCCAAAAAGCATAAGCAGCATCCTCTGCCTATTTTGGGAATGCGTCAAAGTCAAAAGTTTCTGAAGGTGGTAATGGAGGATGCCCAGTATGGTCAGTGCTGTGCTTGACTCTGATGTCCAGTGCTGCGCTTCAAGAGGGCTGCAGCAATCTTCAGTTTGAAATAATTCTCATCACCCTGAGAGCTGCAACTTTTTTGGTCCCTGTGCAGTCGGGTCTGTTTACTGGGGAAGATTACCTTATTGTCAGTTGTGTGGGTTTGAGGAGGCGTTATGTGATGGAAGCCTGTATCAGTCACCTCGACCCCCACCTCCTACCAGTGCCTGAGTGACAAAGATTTCATCCCACAAAAGAAGTCAGGGTTATATCTTCTCTGCTTGTTATACCCTTGTGTAGGAGAAGTATGGGTATGGCTACAAGGCAATAGCTGATGTATCAAAATTATTGTGAATACATGTGAATAAAGGAGGTAATGAGTGATACAAATAAATATGTATGAAACTGCCATGGAAGACCTTTTCTCTTTAAAATCTGATCTTCAGCACGATGTGTAATGTAACCATCTCTTGAAAATATCAGATGGGTGCACAGGCAAAGTAAATGTGCTTTGTCATGCTCCTGACCCTTCCTCAATTTTGAAGTGAGTTCTGTGATTCTTTAGCTCTTCTTCTCCCCCTCTGTTTTTCCATGGTTTTAATACATGTTAAGTGATGAAAATTAATGACATTCTCTTGGTGGTATTTGACAAGATAAAAAGTAAAAGTCAGTTATTAACTTCCTTCTAGTGTGTTTTTAATGGTTTTGCATCCTAACAACCCTTTACCTTTGCAGAAACCAGACTGGTACTTCATATCACATTAGAACTATCAAGTTAGCTCCACTTAGAGGTGCCTCAGTCTTCGTATTTGCTGGTTTTTGCTGTAGGTTGTCAATAGGCATTGATGAATCAATTATATTTGTTATTTAAAGGACACAAATTCAAAAGGTCAGAAACTTTTACTTTACTGGGATGACAAAAAACCACCAATCACATACCAGGATAGGTTAAGCCAGTCTGCTAGTCTGTTCTGGTCCACCAGCACGTTTAATACAGTCTAACTGCACCAGTGCTTTGGCCTCCGAACATCACTTGGCTTTTAGTGCCGGAAGCCTGCGCATCAGCCATCGTGGGTGATCCCACTGAATATCAGGCACGCACTGTGGAAAGGGGAGACATGCCCCTGGGCCTTCTGAGAGTGGAAGCACTTGGTTGTTGGGTTATGGCAAAGTCCTAATGTCTTTTACATTACAGCTGATGGGTGGGATCGCACAGCAAAAACCCAGTGCTGTGCTGGGACGTTAGGGACAGTTGCCTCACACCTATTGGTCTCAATTCCAGTTGCTCACTTGGCAAATCAGAATGACATAAAACATACTATTTTAGCATAGTGTGTCTTATGCTTTGTAGCTTATTAACACAAAGCACTATCGCAGACGAAAGCTAGGGGAGAAGGTGTTGATGGTTTAAAACTGAATTTATTAGTTGGGTTTAGGTTTCTAATATGTACTGCTCTTTTCACGCATGTAACAAGATGAGACAAAAATGCCTTTTGCCAAATTCTACTAGCTAAAACTTCTTGTTTGGCTAATATTATAGCTAAATCTTTACTGTTCAGTATTTTAGACTTTCTCTACTATTGCTATTCAGGGAAAAGTGTTGCATTAACCTGTTCTATATTTCTTCAAATTTTGATAAGTTATCCAAGTCACTGTTTGAGTCAACAGAGGATCTTTGTTTTATATTCAACGCTTACTTGGACTACTTGTGAACTTCACAAGTTTTCTTTCTTTATTAAAAAAAGGAGGAGATCTTTGTTTTATGTTCAATGCTTACTTGGACTACTTGTGAACTTTACAAGTTTTCTTTCTTTATTAAAAAAAGGAGGGCAGAGGGCATATTGATGCAAGAGGCATATGATATTTTAGTTTTGACTGTTCATATGTCTCGTCCTTCAGAATCATTTAATTGTGATTTTCTTTTCATTCCTAAAAGGTGCCATACTTGGCAGATCAGAAACACAAGAGTGTATCTACTACAACGCTAATTGGGAAAAAGATAAAACAAATCGCAGTGGTATTGAACCTTGTTATGGTGATAAAGATAAAAGAAGACACTGTTTTGCTACATGGAAGAATATTTCTGGATCAATTGAAATTGTGAAGCAAGGTTGCTGGCTAGATGACATCAATTGTTATGACAGGTAAGTAAGTTTTCCTATAAATTTTAAAATTATTTGTAATTTTAAACTATTTTGCCTGTCCATAATTTATATAATCTCCCCTCTGCAAACAGTACTTGAGACAAATGATAATACGATAGTCTATGAGTAGTTATCTTGGGTTTAGATGTGCACACACATGCGCTTTTTTTCTCATTTACCTGTATTTAGGGACGCAACTTCATTTAAGTATTTTTTCTTGTTTGCAGAATAGCATGTTTTACCTTCTCTTACTTAATATTCATTAAAAAACAGGCATTTAATTTATTTAGGCCATTAATAATAGATTTTTCTAATCACTTGTTATTGCCAAACAATGCAAATACAGTTACTGAAACCAGAATGCAAAATTCTATAGTTCACTTTGGAGGAGGAAAGTCAGTGCATTGCGTCTGCTCTTAAGTGTGGAAGTACTTCGCCGATTTATTAAAAAGCTTACCTCAGTGGCAGCTCTGAGAGACATAGAATATTCTAAAATTCCAGTCTCTTTTTTTTATAACAGATGGTCTAGCAAGTACCCGTCAGCAGTAACAGCAGGACTTGGGGTTTGTTAGATACTGGCTGAATAAAGGTCATGACTCTCTTAAGAAATGGTATTACAGTTCTTTGAAGTACTGTAGTAAGTTTTATTTGAACAAAACATTTATTATTTGCAAAGGAAGAGAATTAAGAAAATGAATGCATAATAGATCTTCATTAAAATGTATTTAGAAATTATTGTTAGACCTATTAGAAAATTTTCCTTTTGTGTTTCTTAAATATTGAATGAGTAGAAGAAATCATTATAGTAATTTCTACCAAATAAAGTTTCCCCACAGACTAGGATGTTTTCTCCTTTAATGACAGTTTAAAGCTAAGTTAAACAGTAGTTCTGATGTATCTGTTTCTCGGAGAAGCAGCAAAGCATCTGCAAGTTTGCTTGCACAGCATGATTTGAAATTTGACTATGCTGGAAGGCAAAGGACAATTTTAAAGAAATCTTATTTGTTGCTACTAGTATCTAGTAACTGTAAGTCACTAGATACAGGATGGGAACAAAAGTACTTTGATATTTTAATTTTTTTTCAATCTGCTCTTAGTTGTAGCTATGCAGACATAGTGGAGATATTTACAATTTCTGGACTAAGGTTGCTTCTACTAAACGTTAAACTTTTAGGATGGAAATAGAATTTTTCAATTTGGAAATAGAAATAGGTTCTGTAGCATTGTTATCCCACTAGTTCCACATGTATCTTTGAACAGTCTTAAAAAAAAAAAACCAAACCAACCACCTGGTATTAAATTCTCCCTTGAGCAAAGAAAAGAAATTGGAAGAAGAAATAGAATGCAGGAAGGACGGCAAGGAAATAGATGGCAACTGACTAAAAGCTTGTCTGGATCTAAGACCTCATTAACTGTAACTTGTCATGAGAATTCACGGTGCTGTGTTTGTCTGAATTATCCATTAAACAAAATCTTATCTCTGGGACTGAAGAGTGGTTTACTAAACAGGGAGTTACAGTAGGATGAACTCCAAACAGCAGATTAAGAACATCAAAGAATAAATGTTTGATGGAAGTTACAGTACAGTGTAATTGTAACAGCTGGTTCTAAAAAATAACCTACTTCTTGAAGATGAACCAAAAACTTTTTTGACAATCTTCAGCTGTATTTAAAATCCTCAACTATTTCTGCAGGATTTTCAAATTCTTCTCTTTCTGCTGTCAAGTTGTCTCCTGCATGACTCCTGTATTTCTTTCCTGACTTAGTTTCAGCTTATTTGTTAATAGAATTCCTTTCCTGCAGTTAATTCATTGAGTAAAATAAGCCCTGTCCCTGAGCATAATGTGGGCAGGGGAAGTAGTAGAAATTTTATCTTTTTTGAGAGGGAAAAAAAAATAATTCTCCTTTACACTTATCTCCAACCCATGCAACCCTGTGCTGTGAGTTTATGATTAAACACTAGCCATTTGATCACTTGTTTGTCCCAATTAAATCTAGATCATGAACTGTTCTTCAGTATTTTTGTCAGCTTTTCAAATGCATCCCGTTGGTGGTGGTGTTTAACTTTACCTTAAGAATAGCAAAAACATGCTGTTTCAGTTTTAATATTAATGATCTTTCATTGTAATAGGAAATAACAAAATTTTACTTTATTTCTTCAGATTTAACTTTTGGATGATATTTCTTCAGATTTAACTCTGGGATGATTTATTGAAGTTCACCTCAAATTTTAAATATGGACATATGTTTTCTCTTGAACAAAAACCCTCCAAAAACCAAAAAATGTATTAATCTTGAGTTTTTCATTATTATCTTTTCTAGGAATGACTGCATAGAGAAGAAGGACAGCCCTGAAGTGTTTTTCTGTTGTTGTGAAGGCAACATGTGTAATGAACGCTTTTTCTATTTTCCAGAAATGGAGGTCACCCAACGTGAGTTAGTCTAACACATTTATGAAGGAACTGCTTAGTAGAGTTCAGATATATTTAATATCATGCATGTTCAGGAGATAAGACTTTTCAAAATGTTGTGGTCTGTTTTTTCTGCCAGAAGGTTTCTGATTCCTGAGTGATAGTGTGCTGTGTGTGTTCACATAAAGAGCCTAGACAATTGCCAGTTAATTTTTTTCAGTTTTGAAAGGTCTCTATACTAGAAGTAACTTAAATAGATAAAAGGTATTTCAGCTCTTTTCTAAGGGTGAGAAGGAAGGATAACCTGAAATAATTGGCCATTTTAAGATACGGGAGTTACCACCAAATTTTAACCTTGATTGTATAGTTAAGCTTCTGTGTCTGTAAGTCATTGGGCTAAAAGCCACATCATCCTTATATGTATGTGCCAGCCTATGAATGCTCCTCCTCTTGAAACAATGCTCTCACTATTTCTTTAAACTAATTGGACCTTTGAGTTTCTCTGTATATTGACACAGTAACCTTCTAAAAGGGGGAAAAAATTTCCTCCCAGGTTACAAAGAAAATCAGATAGCCAGACATAACAAATAATTGTTTTAAAAAACAATAACCAAAAGATTATTTGATTATTCTTGCATCTCTTCTTCCAGTCAAGAATCTAATCTTTGTTGGAAAACTGAATAATGTTAATAACTGAACTGAAAACAGCAAATGTCTTGTGTACCAAATAGCCAGAGGAAGTTGTTTATGAAATTAAATAACATTTTCTATGAGATTAAAATAGCCTTTGTCCCAAGAGATAGTCTTGTCATTTTTGTCAGTGATACTGCTAAGGCAATAATTGACATTCTTCTTCACTTTCATGAAACCTCTTTTGCCCCAGGGGTCTATGGCTGCCCCTGCACCAGCTGCCTCAACGGCAGGGCTTCTCTGGAGCCTTTCTGGAGGTCCTGGGGAAGTGTCTTCAGCTAGAGAAACCTTACTTTCAGCAATGCAACAGTGCATAGAAACGTTGGCAGATTATTTCTGGCCTGTTCTACTTATTAATGACATCTTATTGTGTACATACCAAAGATTGAACGTCTGTATTGATTCATTTTTCATTCATTAGGTGATAGCATTCTTGCGGTCTTTTTAAAATACACCTCTTAAATGCTGTTGATAACGTGAGCTTAGAAGGACAAGAAAGTTAGATGTGTAAATGTGGGGATCTGAGTTATTTCTGTGCTTTTCAAAATGCTGCCTTTTAAAACGTGTCCGTTTCTAGTAGAGTGTGCTATTTAATTGAGTATTGCTAGCCTTGTTGTGCTGATTGCAAGAATTTTTAGAAAATCAGGATGCTAGACATTTCAAGCACTGGATGACTCTTGTTTCTTAAAAGCTGTGTCCTTTTTTTTTTTTTTTCTTCAGCAACTTCCAATCCTGTTACACCTAAGCCACCTCTATTCAATACTTTGCTTTATTCATTGGTGCCTATAATGGGAATCGCAGTGATTGTGCTCTTTTCATTTTGGATGTACAGACATCACAAGCTAGCGTATCCTCCAGTGCTCGTTCCAACCCAAGTAAGTCACTGCATTATGATTTTTCGTTTTTGAATGGTAAAACCACTTTCTGGAGAGGAGAGGAAAGGGGTGTGCATCTGTCACATGGCTGAAGTCTTCTGTTACTTTCCTTCTTTAGAGGTGCTAATGCTTGCTAGATGCAAAAGCAGAAAATTAAGCTTTACTTAAATAATGTATGAGCAACTACTTAATGTTTTTACACATCTGTGTGTTCGGGAGGAGAAAAACTAAACGTAAAACTTCAGATGGCAAAGACGTAGTATTGCTGGACAGCTGTGGGAAGTTTGTACTCCACGTAGTTAGAAGGACAACTGGTCTGCAAGCTGTGTACAGCTGCTCTCAGGTACTTACAGTTGAGCTTTATGTAATGCTTAAAACCAAAATGAAGGAGACACGTTAATTCATAATGGCAATTTGCAGCGAATAGAAAATAATACCTAGCAGAAGCTTAGCTATTTTCTAAAAAGTATGGAACTGGGATACAGGTATCAGCTAAAGGGAATGTAAAGAAGATCTTCAATTGAAACATAGTTCCAGGGCTTAGTTCAGCCCATGGCCTTGTCTTTTTTTTCCTCTTCCATGTTTATGTATTTTGTGTTTTGGCTTAAAATGTTTCAGTTTAAGCAGTGTTTGTGTTTTACATAGCAAATATTATGAGATTGTGGTCTCCAAATTTGAAATGTAAACTGAGTTGCATCAAAACAAACCTTTTTGGCTGCATGTGCATAGTTCCTGCTGTTGTCAGGCTCCAGCTGAATCTGTAGGTGTAATTAATACTAGAATTCCCCTTCCTTCAGTTATGTGTAGAGATTTAATTGAGATTAGAAGGCCTTTATGAAAATACTTAAGACAGCGAATTCTTCAGACCAGAGTAGGAAGGATGAACAAAATGTGGTAGTGGAAATGGAGAGAGGAAATAGAGAAAAACGACTTGCCCAGGGTCCCACAACACTTGGGTTTTTACAGTGACCACTTGGAATACATTGCCTCTCATACTATGATGATATGATGATGGTTTTTATGATTAAATATAATTAAAACACTTGTTATTTTTGGTAGGATCACATTTAAAATGGATTTACATGTATTTACTCTGTTCCGTGATATTTTCAGTATTACTGCTTGACTTGGGGGTGTTCCAGGAAGCAGTATTGCCTGTGGTCGATAAATAAAATGGTTTTGTTTCAGTTTTATAGTAATAGTTCAGAAAAAAATTGGGGGAGGCAGTGGACATATGTTCTTGCCAAATGAAAAGAACATAATTTAGAAGAAAAAAGTATGTTTCCTGTCCTTGCAGAAAGTATGCAGATCCTCAAACTTGATGCAATCTGTTAGCATAATTATTTCATCCATCTCAATTTTTATGTATTTGTGACTTTACATCAACCTAGTAGTCTTCACTGTAAGATCAAATTCATAACTGCTAGTTGTGTGAATAATTTCAGCATGTCATTTCCTTTCTAGATTTAAATTAAGCAATGAATAAAGTGATATAAAAGCAAGCAAATATTAAATATGTGCAAGATATCAAGTGCTTGAATGTTTATATTGTTCGTCCTTTTTATTGCAGTTATTGCATGGTTTGGGTTTGGTACAGGAGTGGACACGTCATAAATTTTTAATAAATAGGGTAATAACCTGTTTTGTTAATACTCAGATTATATCTGCTGGCGTAAGTGTATGTTGGTGCTTGAGCTAGTTATAGTGTAATAACATTTTCTTATCTTGTGGTGAATAGGCATTAAGGTTTGTGGAAAGTCAGGAAAAGCTACTTCTGCCTGAAAAACTAAATGAAATTATTATGGAAAATGAATGTATAAATATTCTCCCATAAGCAGCAGAGCAGTATTTCCCACTTTAAATTTGATTAGAGCTGATTTGAACAGGAGGCAGAGGAAGCAGGAAGAGAGGGAAAAGTATTAGTAATTTTATAACCACTAAACAAACATTTAAATATTTATGCAATTACTATATTAAATATTAATATTAT